TTTTTTTTTTTTTTTTCCAACGATTCAATATATATGAATTTAATTCTTGAATCGTTTTGATAATTTTTTTTATTAAAATTGTAATTGATTATAATTGTTATAATTTTTTGTTTTTTCTGCTTACACATGATACAAATTAAATATCCTAAAATTTATAATAATTAACAGACCCACCAAACAGTGTGTGATGACTGATGGGATATAGATATAGTATCATTTGAGTGAATTTTTTTTCGGTAAAATAAAGTTATTAGAAAAATTAACAATTTTTTTTAATATAATATGCTATGATACAAGAAATAATAATTAATTATTAGGGAGTTTATTGATTATAAATATGTAAATTGAACATGGAATTTATGTATAGTAATGACTGATTTTTTATTTGAAAATTATATTAAAAATGTGAATGGAGAATAAAGATAAAAATAAGATATTTCAATAGTTTTTTTCTTATAAATAATAGAATTGTTGACTTCATAGTAAAACTAGTGTTAATATATCACGATAACTTAATTTTATTAGGGAAACTGCTAGAAAATTGATCCCAAAAAATCTCCCCTATTACAACTTCATTAATTTTGACACATTAAGAATTATGTGGTAGAAAAAGTACTTGAAAACTAAAGTAGATTCCTTGTATATATATCTAATAAACATTCAAACAACTACGAATTACAAGTTTAATCCAATAATCCTTTTTGTCTAGTTAAAAGATGTAAATTACGTTGTTAGGTACAACTTATAATAAGGTGAAATATACTTTATTTAATAAATTGTAATTGTACCTTTCAAATCTGCTGCTCCCTTCTTTTAACAGGGCTTCAAATCCATAGCCATGATGATTTTTAACAGCTCTTTCCATATAAAGCCAAAAATCCCCCAATATATGCCCTACTACTTTTAGCCGATTTCTATTTGTACATTAGTCCCTCTTTTGCCCTTCGGTAATCTTTGTACTCCCTCTATTTCTTAGACGATATGTAAAAAAATAAAAATTGTATAATGACTAACGAACAACATATATAATGGATCCAGCTATTAATACATAGATCACTTTATATCAACTAATAATATATGAAGTACTCATCCATAAAACTAAAATGGATGACAGAAATATTAAATTGAAAAAAAAAAAATCTTAATTAATAAACGTGTTATCAAGATTAATTGGCCTTTTTTACAATTAATTGACAAGGGAATAAGTTTAGTTGCACTTGCAGATGCCTTTTAGGTATAGGCACGATTCTAGCGTGTTTATACATTCATAGAAACACGTCTATTCGACACAATTTATTTACAACAATATTTCATTGTAATACATAAATATTCACAATTTTAATAGCACAAAATATTTGTAGGATTTTTGAAATGCTGGAAAATACCCCTAATTATAAGGTACACTCAATTTTGGTGGAATTAGCTGGCGATTATATGGGTCTAAGTGCACCATACTGAGTTTTCATCCCAAAATGAATTTATTTTTATGAAGGATTAACTGCTATATTGACTTAGGTTCGAACAAACTAATGGTTCCTTAATTTATTTATTTTTTGCTTTGTTTTTTCTTATTATTATAGTACTAACGAGGTTATAGCCAGCAATTACGCCTATTTATTTATTTATAACAATGCACATTATTTTTTGACATCTTCCTAACAATTCTAAAAATTCTCAGAAAAAATTTGTAAAGTTCTAAAGTAAAAAAAAAAATAATAAAAAAAAGGACAAATGAAACAAAACGCCACACGCATCCGCCATTGACATTTGCATGCAAACAACTGCAAAAAGAAAAGNCTGGAAATCGGGGCCCAAAATTAAGATGGACTGCAGGTGTTTATGGGCTGTAATATCTTGACTTAAGCCCAATTTTACCTTAAGAGCTTTTGAATGAGGCCAATTTCGTTTAACGCTGGGTGACTTGGATCGCCTGGCTTCCTATCTCTGCATGTTGAAAATTATAGGCCCATTTATATATTTTTGAAAAAAGTTGCAAAATAGTGACATTAAAAAAATAAAAAATTCATTCATAAACTACTTATAAGAATCTATCATTCATAAACTGTGAAAGTTAATATGTGTGCAATTAAAATGAAAAAAATCGTAAAATAAAAAATATTAATTTGTAGGTGAACGCTTTAATTTATCAAAATTATACCAATAATAAAATTATAAAATATATCCAGTAACTTAGTAACTTAGGATGCATGTAACAATTTGACTCATTAACTTTTGTGATCTAGGAAATATCCATTAATAAATCAAGTCACAAACATTATGTTCAAACATGTGAGATATTGAGTACATATGTTTGCAATTAGGTAGTGATGTAGAGGTAGCGTAAGAGTGAGAAAGATAAACGAGATACTATCTCGTAAAACACAGAATCAATTCATATTTTCTTCATTCAATAATCAACTATCCATAACAAAGCCTAAGAACTCTTTTAATAAACCCCTCAAACCAAACCTAGCTTATTCTCTAAGCTACTACTAATTATTAAATAATAATAATAATAATAATAATAATAATAATAATAATAATAATAATAATAATTCTTCTGCACCATTCTCCTCCGATTGAATAGGATTCGCCCTCGAATCCGACCTGTTCCCGTTGGTGACGTCCTAATGACAGGAATAGCCCGATGTTATCCCCGATCGAACACGAAGGATGAAGCTCGCCCAACAACCCCGACGGGAAACATAAGCTTGAGCAAGAGTTGCACTGCTTCAAAGGCACATGTACACGCGTCTATACGAATAACTCACACAATGTAATTACCTCCAAACACACCACTTCGTTTGCCGCGCTCAAACCCATAACTACGGCCGAGCATCTCGTTGTTAGGGGACATTGTGATAGACAATTGGAAAATGGCCCACCAATTATTGAGCCTCGGCTTCACCTCCGAAAAACCAAATTTGACCAAGATACTCTGAAAATCGGTTCTGAACGACAGCGTCCCATTCGAAGGCTCAATCTCTGCGACGTCCGGCGCAGGAGCCATAGTGCCGCAAAAATACGTCTTCGTTACCAGAGGCTCTTTATTAAAAATTGGCGGACCATCGTAGATATCGCACGTGTCAGGATCGAAATCTGGGGAATCTTTAAACTCGAAGTCAAAGCTTGTTTGTGGTTGTTCAGGCCCAAAATACGGATTAAATCCCTCCTTCCCCTGAGCCCAATAAATGGAATTGGGCCGTCCCTGTGCAAGCCCAAAAGTGTGAAAGAAATTCGTTTTGCGTCTCTGCTCATCATCTACATCTCGATACACACCATCTCTCCAATCCCGGCGCTGCACCTCTTCAATTCCGGCACCGGTCCAGCGACGGTTGCGCCCAGGACCAACGGACCATCCTTCCGCGGCGTCGACCGTCAACTGCCCATGCCGCCTCACGACCTCCGTAAGGCCTCCGTTGTTTGCGTGGCCGGAATTCACCTAGGGTTTCTTTGTCCCTCCAAGCGGCGCGACCATGGTAGTCGCCGACGTTCTCAGCTACGCGGCGCCCATTGCGACCCCAGCCCGCCTCAGTACGTCGAAAAATTTTACCCTTGGCAGCGGGAAAATGCAATTCGTAAAAATCAGGCGCCTCCATGTGCCGTGGGTATGTGATGCTGTACCCGACAGCCTCGTACCCGTCGTCCCAGCGGCGGCACGGCGTGTCGAGCCCAGCGAAGGCCGAGCTCTCGCCATCGGGCCCCCGTCCGCGAAATTCCGTAAGACCTGCTCCCTGTGGCTGCACAACATAGCCACCTTGCGCAACTAAGGGATCAGGATTGACTTGTTGAGGCCGCCTATTCTCGAAGGAATTGACCTCCGAGATTGCGTCCTCATTGTCGTCATCGCCGGACGTCGGTTGTGGAGATCTCTGACGGGGCGCCCCGCTCTACATCAGGTAGTGAGTTATATATATTTGCATGATTTTTATCATTTTTGGACATAGTCACATAGAGTGTTTATTTTTATTAATTGCCCAGACATTTTATACCATCACAAAAGTTATCGAGCATATTTACCATATGTTCAAAGTTACTAGGGCATTTTTTTTTTCTGGAAAGTATTATTTTCTTATGTGTGTGGATTTATAAAGGTGTCATTAGTTTTCATTTCTTTAGAATCAATTTTTCTTGGGGAATGACAGTGACTTCTCAAAAGTTCATAGTAAATGGACTGAGAAGTGCAAATTGTTATGAAAAATGGACACTTTAACCGTGTCCTTTGACAATCTGATTTTTCTCGAAATATATTTTTTTAGGAGAGTGACCTCTCGAAAGTTCGTTAAAAAAAGACCAACAAAAGTGTAATTATTATAGAAAGACACTTTCACCATGTCCTTTTGATCCTAAAAAAGTCAAAGTTCTATTATTTTTATATCGATGCACAATGTGAAACTCGATGTTTATTGCAATTCTTCATAAAAATTGTACTATTATACCATTATTAATGTTAACATTATATACTTGTACAATTCATATTAGGGGTGTTCTTCAAGTTGAGTTGATCAGTTGAACTGAGTCGAGTGATTTACATATAAGTTTGTGATTGTTTAATAAATAAACAAGAAAACTCGGTTCAATTATATTTGTGGAATCTCGGCTCGACTTGTCTTGTTTAATTAACCTAAATAGTTAACAAAATGTTCGAAAATTCAAAATATTCGTTCGCGAGTAAGTTCGACTAGGTTGTTCCATTAAAACGAATGAATAAATTAGTAAATCACCATTCAAGCTATTCATGAACAAGCTCGATTCGACTCGTTAAATGAACTCGGTTAGCTGTTTAATTTCAGGTCGTCTAAGTAACTAAAAGAGTTGAAATAAACTTTTATGAATAATCACGAGCCAAATAAGTTAGGCCGAACAATAAATTAAGGGTAAGACTTAAGAGTAAGGACTTTCTCAATGATACAAGACTAGTACAATATTCGTGTACTACGCGGGTACTTAAATATATTAATATTTGTACAATAAAAATTAAAATAACTTATATTTTTATTGTGAAATTATGTATGATGAATATACAACAATAATAAATAACTGACAAAATGATAATTAATTCAAATGGTGCCAGTATTTTTACGCTAAATTTGTCAAAAAAGATATTTTTTAATTATAGTTTTAAAATAATATATATATATATATATATATATATATATATACTCTGATATTATTTACAACTCCATATATTTGATTTGTGTTTTTTTAAGCAAAATAAGTTTTATTGTATTGTGATTATATTTTATATTTATAAAGTCAGTGTCTCACGTATATTAATTTTTTAAGTATTTTAAATTCATATAATTTATAATTTATAATTTACGTAGAAATGTATTATTTTCTAATTATATGAAATACAAAATTATTTTATTATATTTAATTATGATATTTTTATATTTACTATTTTAAATAAAATTTAATTTTTTATAATATATTTAAATTGAGAAATAATATTTTATAATATTTCTTAAATTTTATTTTATGTAATACTTAATTTTCATTTTTTTTCCAAAATTTATTGCAAAATTATGAAATTATTATTTTATGGTGTATTAATGAATTAGATTTTTATTGTTCTTATAAAATTAATATATTGTTATTTTAAGTAGTTTAAATTGAGTTGATAATAAATTTAATTTTATTTATGAATATAGATAAATGTAATATTTATTTTATATATGCAATATAGATGTCATCGTTAAAATATGATTATTTTGGTGTATCGTATATAGAAAATAAAATACAAATAAAAAATTCATAAAGTTTTAAATATAAAAGGAATATATATTCATAATAACTTATATATGAATTAAATAAAAAAAATTATAGTAGTATATCGTAACTTTTAAGAAAAAAGAGAACCTAAAATAATATGGTAATTCTCAATCCTAATAGTCAAAATCTAACCTGAACATGTGTCAATATTAAACACAAATTTATGACAAATAAGCTTATGAAACACACGAGACTGCCCTTTAGGCTCAACGCATTCGAAAATTATATATAAGGCAATATTCTAGAAGACAAAAAGAAAAAAAAAATCAAAAATCTGGTACTTAATATAGCTATTTAAAGGTGGGCAGCAAAATGTTAGCCACCAACCCTAACTAACAATAGTACCATTTTTAGCTTTGTAAGTTGCACATGAATAATGTCCTACGTTAGAACGAAAATAGTTATGTAGAACATCCACCCTATATATAACTGTAAAATGCGTTGAACCTAATTAAGTGACAGATCCGCATGCTTCGGAATTCTATGTGGCAAAAGACCATGTTTCGTAGCTCGGCTTGGATAAAAATAGTATTTTTTATAAAATAATAATTAGGCTTGGATTGTATAAAATCTCTATATTATTCAATTAAACTAGTATGTGGCCCGTGCGATGCACAGGTAAATAATATTAGATGATAATTATAAATTGACGATATAGGTATATAATATGTATTCGTTTAGAATTTTGAGTGCCACTTTGAGATTTTTTAAGATTTGAGACTTTTAAAATGATCAAATTTAGAGGAATACTATGAAATCTTAAGTGTGAATGTGAGATTTAGAGTGAAATTTTATATAATGTTTTTTTTCTTTTAAATCATAACTAATCTTAAAAAGACCTAACAAATCTTGATCTCTTAAATATTTAAGGATATTTTAAGATTTTTTTAATTTTTATATATCAAAGATGAACCGCTTTTGTTACCAAAATGTGGACACAATTTTGAACGTACATCCCCTCCAAAAAATGTGGACACAATGTTTGATACGAAAAAAATAGAATTCAAATTTTGCCATAAGAATCTCCAATTTAGTAACCAAAAAAATAGGATTCAGATTTTGTTACTAAAGATTCACATATAGTTTTTTTGAACTTTCCATTAATAGTAAGTCAAACATTATATTTATTTGGTCAAACTTTCTATTAATGTATTTTTCCAACAACCTCTTTATATATATATAGATATGTAATTGATCTCTTCCTTCTTTTCTTATTATACAATTAGTTATCATAAAATATTTTAGATTTCTTTTTCCTACATTACCAAATATTAAATTTTCTTTTCTTTTTAATTCATACACCAATTATCATAAATGTGTCTTCTTATTTTTTAAATTTTATAACTTTTTTGTTTGTATTTTATGTTTTATATATGATATATCAAATTAATTGTCTCAAAATTGTATTCCAATTCGTGTTCCATTTCATTACATGAATAACACATATTCACAATGATGTCACTACTCACTAGTATACATGTGTCATTCATTTAATAAAATGATATATGAATTGAAACACGGTTTTAAGAAAGACAATATCTTCCCATTGCTCTGTATCATATGACATCCATGTAATATCTATTTAAGTTTTGATATATAAAATGGGAAAATGCTATAAATGAAACAATTTAGGTCTTGGTGAATCTATCTGTTTGGGGGTAAGCTCTGAATTAATACAAATATAAAGGAGATTTATTAAGAATGACAAATGTGGAGTGCTACTAATATATTATGCTGTGCAAGTAATCTATCTAATATTTTTATATGTAAATTAAAATACGCATATATACGAAATGTGGAGTGCTACTACTCTACAGACTTTTTGAAAGAGTCCAATAGATATAATTTGTACTAAATATAGTTTTCGATAAAAAATTTAATAAAATGACATCATAAAGCTAATGTGCTTGAGAAAATTATAAGTTTATGTTAAAAACATAATTTTCATGACTAATTATAAGAATTTTTTGGGTAATGTTGCACTTTAATAAAGTCTCAGATGGTCCAGTATCATAGTCAAGCAACTTAGATATAAATGGAATGATGAATAGTTAACATGAAAAAGTAACCGCGGAATGACAAATAGATATAGATATTCCTGGACAAATCGGTCTCTAAAATAAATTTCTATTATATAAAACAATAAAAAAAAAAATTATATATAAGTAACAATACAATATGATGTTGACACAATTATTTTAAGTGAAAAGAATAGAATTTCTAACATACAAGCAACTTGGATGGATAGGATCAAATATTATATTAATTAAATATTAATAATTAACATATTATGCAAGTCGCTAGAGCCCAAAATGCTCAATAATGTTATCAATAACTAACCCAAGCTCAGAAGACATCCACTACATATCAATTTCTAGTGATACGAATCATTAGAATCATAATTCTTATTCATATCTATTAGAGTTTTAAAATTATAAAACACTTGTTATTATACATATACTTTTTAAATTTATCATATTTATGTTTGTTACAAGCTTTTTTCATATATGATATATCAAAGCAAATCATCTTTTTATGATATTTGATTTGTATCCATATATTACATATATAAAATAAAAAAAAAATTACCTTTGTAAATAAAAATTAAATTAATTAACATTATTTAATATATTTATTAAATAAACTTATCTATCAATATATTATATAATATGAGTTTAAAAGTTTATTATAATAAGGAAAAGCAAGTCTTGCGAGTATCATCATTTTATTAAAAGAAATACAATACATTTTTTTGAAAAACATATTATTATTTTTAAATACATTTGCTAACTGCAATGTACGAGTACTGTAGTACTGATAATTACATCACCGTTCACTTTAATGTTAGCGTACTAATTCAACGATATGCACAACGTCAATTTTCAATTTGTTTCTTCCTAAAAGAAGAAGCCAATGCACAGCACATTGGCCTTTATCTTTTCATCTTTATCAATAAACCAACTTGTTAAGCTCCACGTATATGATATATAAGGATGAAAACGAGTCGAATTCGAATTCGACTGGCTTATTTAAGAGCTAAAATACGTCAAACCGTACTCTAAAAGAGCATTTTGAGTATCAGCGACGGAGTAAATAATTAAAAATACAATTATATAACAATTATGGACAAATAATATATGATGAGAATGACACTGACACTCGAAACACAACATAAAACATATAAATTAAAAAAATAATAGTTAAACTATTTCTAATATTATATATATTATAAAAAATAGGTAACAAAAAAATATAGTATAATTTATAGTGAGACACGATAAGATAACACTATTCTTCAACCCTAATTCTGAAGCTGCAATTGGATTGATTTCAAAAATTGTAGAAATCTATCTCCACTAAGGGGCGGATTTAAATAGGGGTTGTAGGAGCATAGACCACTGTGCAATTTTTAAAAATATTTTGTATATATGTACATATAATATATTTTTGAATATTTATTTTATGTACCATAATTTTAATATAATAAGAATATAATTTAAAAATTAAATATCATATAATTTTAAATATATGATTGTTGAAGATCAATCATTCCGACTAAATACGTTAACGTGATTACATTTAACACAAATTCTTATGTGAGGCAATATAACTATTACGTGAATTGATTTGTCATACTTTTTAAATAAAAATGCATACTTATGATATTTTCTAATAAAAATTATGTATATTGTTAAATAATATGTCGACATAAGTAGTGTCTAGCACAAGACCAACTTTGTATTTAAGTATTTAAAATTTTCGTAACTCCACATTCTATCCCATTTTTAAAAAAGAAATTAAATTAAAACATAAAAACTTATTATCATTTATTTAAATAAAAAAAATTAAATTTTGCCCCTCTTGTATGTGAGGCCTGCGTACGTCCGCCCTTAACAATAGTGTTAGGAAAAGGTGGAAATGTCTTTCTTTTTTNTAAGATAAAATATAATTATTATAATTGATGTGATATAGAATAGTAAAATATTAATCAAATTTATGAATGATAGTTAAAAATATATAAATTAATAAATATTTTTTTAGATATTTCTTGAAACTTTTTTATTTTTATTTTCAAATAGTGTTGATGGAATTAACCAAAATATTAAATAATATATATTTATTAAAAAAACATCAGAATTTCTTTTCCTTTTATTTTACGTGACGCTCCGAGGCACAAACATGCATCACTCAAAAAACAAAAACTATCCCTTGCCTCGGCGCGTGGAACACTCTCGGCCACACAGAGAGTAGCAATAGTACAAAACCATTCCTCAACTGAATCCCGAGCCTCACTTCCGAATCCCGTATCCAGCATACAATATTCATGTGTAGTTGCTTTTAGGAATTGGATTAGATTAACCTAATATAATGTCAATGGATTTTACTGTATTGGGTAAATTTTAATTTATATTAACTTTGTATTTGGTATACAGATTGATGGTTCTAAATTATAATTCATGAATATAAATGTGATTGGACTTTTTATGCCACCTGGCATGCTAATCCACAGGCTCTCAGTGAAGTTTATCGAGAGATGGAGTCACACTTCCGGGTTCTTAGGGAAACAAATTTGGATATTGTTTAGGGATATTGTTTAGTTTCCCACGCAAATTGGAGCGTGGATTTTCCAAATGTTTTGAGAAATATGTGCTCTCTTATCCAATTGTAAATTATTGCTCTGTCAAGAATAAATATTGCACACCGTTTTGCTATGGAGCCATCAGATGGCTCGATTTATGGAGTCATCCATAGTTATTCACAAATAGTGGATGGCTCGGTTTATGAGTCATCCATAGTTATCCACAAATGGTGTATTGACACGCGTCCTGCAATAAATACACATTGGACACGTGTCAATACATAAAGTTATGGATGTCTCCATAAGGGAGCCATCCGATGGCTCTACAGACTTTATGATATTGCACATATCTTGTTTTTTCTCTGATAGCTTGCAAGAATTTGTGCGCTTTTTTCTTTTTCTTTCTTTCTTTCTTTTTTTTTTTTTGAGAAAAATATGATAATCATAGTTTTCTTTTTGTCAAACTATCATCAGAGTTGCTATAGTAAATTTTGGGGTTTTTTGAAAATATTGTACCTTGATCTCCGGCGGAGGTCCGCCTTCACCAGCTTCCGTCCATATTTTGTCGACCGCAAGATGCAATAACTAAATATGAAAATAGCGTTCTTTATAAAAAGTGAAAATATAAGAATGCATTGGTAATTTTGTTTCTATGGTCTAGCTGGAAAAACTTATCTATTCATTTTGGTCGGTGGTAGTGAAAACGACCTTAACCGAGTTGAACGTCCTTCGATCTTGATACCTGACAAATCTTGTATTATTTTTTATTTAATTTGTATATTTGAGTATATACGTGGGAAATCTTGTAATATTTTTTAATTTAATTTGTATATTTGATTATTTGATTTGAGTGTAATACTCAAGTTTTCTCACGTACTTTATTTTATATTTTATGAACTGACATACATCAATATTCGATTTTGGGTCTATTTTGCAGTTATACGTCTATTTGTGAAGTGACATTGATGAAGTGACAGTTGTGTAGGCAATGACACATATTTAATTTTAACATGGTCAATGATTTAAAACAAAAAAAAAAAAAAGAAGAAGAAAGAAGAAATGAACGTGGAGGACTCTTGATTGTTGCTGGGGCCGAATTTGAAGGCAGTAGGAATTAATTTCTCAGCTATGTGGACTTATGCGAGAGAGTTGCTGGAGGGAGATAAGATTTCAATTCTTCTAGACTCTCATTTAATTGGCTGACTTGGCAAGAGGAATTGGAATTTGGCTGGAAACTTTTGTAGGGCTGCGTGGCATTATTTGAAGGATTAGGGGTAAAATAAATGAGGGTCATGTTGATGAAGGACTCTCATTGGCTAGAGAGGTGAGGATTAGCTGGGTATAAATTGAAATTCCTCTTTGTGGCCGGTGGTGGATTAAAGGAGCAAGGGAATTTCATGGGTGGAGATCAAAGACATTTATTTGCTATTGGAATTGAATTTGGCTGTGTGATTCACTAAGGATCGAGGGAGTTGTTCTTTTGATTTATTCATTTTATTCTATTTTTATTGAAGATCACGTGTATTAGTATTTGTTTCGATCATTTAGCTATGCATAGCTAAACATTTATTTCAGTTATAGGGCGTTGAATCATTGATGACTATGTTCGATTAATGCAATTCATCTCGTAAATTGTAGGTGGTGAATGGGGTTCGATGTGTACGTGGGCAATTCATCTCGTTTTACTTGTCGTCCAAAATTATTTGCGGTGAATGGGGTTTGCTGTGTACGTGGGCAATTCTAATTACTTGTCCTAATGTGTATTTTTTTAAAAAAAAATTAGCTTGATCACCTAAGTTAAGAATTTCATGTTAATTGATAGGCTTAAGGCTTCGATCCGAATTGTCGTATTTCTTATTTCATTTGTTGCAACTAATAGTTGGGTACTTTTAAAGATAACACAACATAAGTTACATAAACTGGGCTTTTGTGTTTGTGGCTTAGATCGGTCTATTTTCCTAGATTTTAATGCAATTAGTGAATTAAATTATGAGAGCCTCTTCCAAGAGCCTATTTCGATGGAGTAAAGAAAATTTAGGTGACAGAGCTTATTGCTATATAGGACCGGTAGTTTTAGAAGACGAGTGATATTCGATAAGTGCATTAATTGTACTAGTTAATTGAGGGTGTAAACCGACCTAAGACCGATTTTATTCTCATACTTAATAGAAAATTTGTTACTTTCAGTTTCATCATTCTTTGCGTCTAAATACTTCATTTTGTGTTTTAGTTTAATTTTTGTTTCGCTAGTAGTGTCATTTCAAATAAAAAATTCCACCTCTTTTACTTTAATCTAATTAATACTAAATAACCGCCGTTTATACCACACTCCTCGTGGGATCGACCCTTACTAGCCACTACGACTAGTTAGTAGTGTTAGTCGAAGAAAATTATAAAAATCTAAATTTGCCGAGTTGCTACTCGCGGTCAAATTTTGGCGCCGTTGCCATGGAGTGATGAGATTTAAATAGTGATTTTATTTGTGTTAGTTAGTTCATTTGATGTTTATTTTTGTTTTTTCAGTTGCATTTTTTCGTGGAACTTTTGTTGTTTTCTGTTATCGCTCTGATATAACAGAAAATACTTCGGGTTTTTACGACAAATTATTTCTGAATTTTGTCATGTCTCAGCTCACATTTGTCTCATTTTCAGGTGAATAAAAACAAGGTCTTCAGGAGGTGAAGACTTTGAATCTTATACGGAGATCATGAGACGGGATACCGAACTAAGAAAGAAGGCTTGACAAGGAGTATCTAGTTTGAGATCGAAAGCGAGGACGCAGCGAACGAAAGTGAGAGCGAGGAGAGCCAAGAATACGCCAATCACAACATTGAGAGCGTAGTAATGGTGAACAAAGAGCGTACTTTGAGGCAACTTGCTATTGTCGTACTACCGCAACAATCTCTTTGCATAATTTTCCTGGAGATGAATGATACCACATTCGAGTTGAAGTCTGGGCTGATTCATTTGCTTCCATCGTTCCATGGCCTCGCTAGTGAGGATCCACACAAACATCTGAAGGAGTTTCATACGGTGTGCTCAGCATGAAACCCACCCAGGTGACCAAGGAGCAAGTCAAGCTACGCGCATTTCCATTTTCTCTCAATGAAGTTACAAAGGACTAACTTTATTACTTGCCTTCGAGTTTGATCACTACATGGGCAGGAGAACATCTTTCTCCAGAGGTAATTTTCGGCGATACAAGTCGTCGCTCGATGAAAAAAAAATTGTGGAGTGCTGCAGATGCAATGAGAAACACTGTACGAGTACTGGGAAGGTTTAAGAGGCTAGTCGCGAGTTGTTCGCAGCACCAGATGGCCGACCAACTATTGATCCAATATTTTTATGAGGGCCTTTCACTCATGGAGAGGAATATGTTAGATGCGGCTAGCGGCGGTGCACTCATGGACAAAACTCCTACGGCAGCAAGGGAGTTAATTGCTAACATGGCAGCTAATTCTCAACAATTTGGTACTCGTGGTATCTTGCAGAAGTTGGCTTAAGAAGAAGAAAATTGATTCTTAGAGGCTCAAATCAAGGAGTTGACCTCCGTGTTCAAAATCTATCTAAAATGAAACTAAACAAAAAAGTTGTTCTTGAACAAGCTCGGTTCAACTCGTTTAGTTGTCTGAACTAAGCTTATTATACATACGACTGAGCTTTAGATTTCACGATGGAACCGAGCTCACTTCGGCTCGCTTATTAAACGAACTATGTGGGAATGTGTGTCTGAAATCACCTAATTGGCTACTTGTCAATTAATTCATGGCAGGAACATTTATTTTTCTCTCATATTTAAAAAAAGACATGTTTGCTTTGGCACCATGCAGTACTAGTTAAAAACAAAAACGAAAAAAAAAAACCACAGGGAACGTAAGCCAGAGGGACTCTTAACAAATTTCGTGGCCTTTATATTGCAAAGCTCCCACGGAAAAAACAATCCACAGATTCTCTCTGTATCTCATTTTTACTGTAAAAACCCACAAGCCCAATTCTTGTAATTAAGCAAGAAAAAACCCAAAAAAAACAAAAAAAGATAATAACAAAAACAAAAACGAAAGGAAAATGGAGATTGAAGCGCTTAGCAACATTTCCATCAAGGGCATCCTCGGATTGCTGATGGCGAATGTAGACGCCGATGGCAAAAGGTTAATTTCGCTGGGCATTGGCGACCCAACAGTTTATTCTTGCTTCTGCACAACCGCCGCGTCTCAGGAAGCCGTCGTCGACGCCTTGCGCTCCGCAAAATTCAACGGCTACGCGCCCACCGCTGGCCTTCCTCAGACCAGAAAGTACTATCTTTCTCTCGAACTTTTTGTCTCTGTGTTTGTTAATTTTTTCGGAGTTTCCTTGCATTTTGAATTTAGAAGGTTTCCTGTGTTATCTCGGATTTTGTTTGTGGTTGATTTGTTTGGCCGACGGAGAAAAATAGGCTGTGCCCTGAAAATTGGAGCTGGTGGGCCCAGTCCAAGAAAAGGGTAGAGACTGTTAAAAATAGTGGGGCTTGTGAATAATCTTTAAAAAAGTGATCTTTTTCGGAGAATTTCAGTTTCATGCTAGCTCCAATTTGGTGTTTTTCTTGCTTCTGTAGTGCTTCTTGTTGTCTAAACATGGCTAAGCTGGTTTTTGTAAAGCTCAAATCTTTTTATTGTCTGCCAAGCAGGGCACTGGCTGATTACTTCTCCCTTGATCTGCCTTACAAGCTGCTACCCGAGGATGTTTATGTTACGGCTGGCTGCACGCAGGCTATTGAGGTGGCCCTCTCGAATTTGGCTCGTCCGGGAGCCAATATCCTTCTGCCGAGGCCCGGATTTCCCATCTATGGGATTTGTGCTTCGTTTAGGAATCTTGAAGTTCGATATTTCGATCTTCTTCCTGATAAACAATGGGAAGTCGATCTAAGTGCATTGGAAAAGCTAGCCGATGACAACACTGTGGCTATGGTTGTCATTAATCCCGGCAATCCGTGTGGGAATGTGTATTCGTATCGACATTTGAAAGAGGTTTAATCATTTTAAACTGGATATTTTCTTAAAGAAAAAAGAAAGTGATCTTTAATTCTCTCAAAATTCTAATTCTTGGTTATGGTTCTTGAAGAAAAAGTGATCTTTCAGTGAATTGAACAACTTATGTAACCATATATGGTGTGGTTTTACAATATATTCAGATTGCTGAAACTGCAAAGAAACTCGGCATTGTTGTGATTGCGGATGAAGTTTACGGGCATCTTGCTTTTGGGGCAAACCCTTTTGTGCCGATGGGAGTTTTCGGGTCTTTAGTTCCCGTCATCACTCTCGGCTCCTTGTCAAAGAGGTGGTTAGTGCCAGGCTGGCGCCTCGGTTGGCTAGTCATAAATGATGTCGATGGCTGTCTAAAGAGCCCAAAGGTTCTTTNTTTTCCTTTGTTTGCTGATTTTATAGCGAGAATAAGTTCAGTTTGCTTATGTTTTTACCTTTTGCTGCACTTTCTCAGTTTGTGGCAAAGCTTAAGAAATATTGCGACATTAATGGAGGTCCTGCAACCTTCATACAGGTAAGATAGTTAATGTTATACGCTTTGGATTTTCTGCGCAAGAAGTATATATAGAACCATTTAATGATTGTTTGTATATTAAAAGAATAGGAACTGTTTAGCTGGTTTTATGAAGCCACAAAAATTTAGCAACGATTGAACGGTTCGAAATAAGTGCTTCTTCTTACTGACATTTTAATTTTCCAGGCGGCAGTTCCGACTATAATCGAGCAAACGCAACAAGTTTTCTTCGGAAAAACCATAAATATATTGAAACAGGCTTCCAACATTTGCTACGAAAAGATTCGAGAGATTCCTTGCATCAGCTGTCCTTCGAAACCGGAAGGTTCCATGGCATTCATGGTAAAAATATTTTTACTGACGCTGTAAAAAAAATATTTATCAGATCAATTAATTTAAGACCAAATTATTATTATTATGAATTTATTCTTTTTTTCTGAAAACAAAAGGTGAAGCTGAACGTGTCGATGCTCAAAGATATTAGCGATGATATCGACTTCTGTTTCAAGCTAGTGAAAGAGGAATCTGTTATAATTCTTCCAGGTTATGTAATAATCCGATATATTGACTTGTGTGTCGTTAAATTCGATGTTTATTCAGTTTGTATCGCCACTTTTTTTTTAATCATGCAGGGCTTGCTGTAGGCGTAAAAAACTGGCTACGAATTACATTTGCTGTCGAGCCATCGGCTCTCGAAGAAGCTTTGGGGAGGGTGAAATCTTTCTGCCAACGGCATTCAAGCTAGCAAAGCGCGAAAAATTGGTAAATTTGGGTGGATTTTTTATCAAAATAAACTAACTGAAAAAAAGGCTTGTGTTGCTGCATATATGCATGCAGCCGGGGAACCTTGGATTTTTTTTTATTTTTTTTTTAAATTTCTACTTTTATTGTAAGATCAGTAGATCACATCATACTTTATGATTATATAAAAGAAAAATAATACAAAATACTTATCTGCTCATTGATATACAATTATACAGGACACTTTCTTTTCCCTTATATATCATCCATCGGTACAGACCTAACGGTTAGACGGAGCGAAAAATTCCATGCTGAGAACTTGAGAATGGAACAATGAATGTGTTATTTTCTCAATTTCAATGGTGATACATCTTTTTACTGTTTGATTTATCTCCATCAATTGAATAATTAAATCTTTTGCTGCTATATTTGGTATCTAAATTTGAGAAATCTGGCATGTTTTATCCAAATTGAACCAATATTGACAGATTATACAGAGTTCTTACAGTACATTTCAGAAAAATCCCATCTCAGATCATATAAGGAGGGTGAAGA